CATGTGCGCTGCATGGCGATGGCGATTTTGACGCCAGAAACTCGTCGCTGGAATATCAAACTGAGTTATGTTTTATATAATTTTGTTACCGAGTCGCTGAACAATCGCCACGTGTGCGCTGCCCTAGCGACGAATTCAGGCAACAGTTTTTGGATTAACTAATCAAATGCATGATTTGAAACACGTGATCAAATATGGCAGCGCCCTTGGTGTGGGAAAAAAGCAGGAGGATGAGCTTGTTGAAATGTGAAATTGAATGGTATCAAATTGAATTTGAATTGTTGTCGCCGGGTCCCGCACACGTGACGATTAAAATCGTCAGTACTGGCGATAAAAATCGCCAGTACTAGCGATAAAAATCGCCACCTGTGCGCCCGGCTTATTAGCACAATTACATGTAGATAGTTACTGGTACATTTCGTGCAAGAAATGTGAAACTGGGGCTAATTCTGCTTCTACTCGCCATTCTATTTCTAAATTCTGCTGCTAATTTGTTACCGGCACAGACAGTTTCGAACCACGCAGTGTGACAACAGCAAGAGATTGGCAGTTAAAATGATCGAGTATGTACAAAATTGATTTATTCTGAAATTATAATATTTAATATCACAATAGAAGCCGATGAAATTATTTCAAAAAAATTACATAGACGTACCTTGAGAGTATGTAGTGGTAACATATCTGTATAGTCCACCAAGTGGCACCCAGGAAGAACATGGAACCGGGAATCACATGTCCAACAAAAGACCCCATTACTTACTCACCTATAAGGTTATTACAAAAACAGTTATTATGGCTACTATAATACATGGCAAAATATATATATAATGGTTCGTCGCTATGCATGGTGATGACCATCAGTCCCACCAATTATACAGATTGAAGCATTTGATTACATATTATGCATGCGTGAGCGCGTCTGGCTGAATGCATGAGCGCGCGTGCGTATCTATACGTCCGTGCGCTTGTGTATCTGCGTGCGTGCGTGCGTGCGTGCGTGCGTGCGTGCGTGCGTATTGTGTATCTGCGTACGTGCGTTCGCGTTTGTATCTGCGTGCGTGCGTGTTTGTATCTGCGAGCGTACGTGCGTGCGCGTTTGTATCTGCGTGCGTGCGAGCGTGCGCGTTCGTATCTGCGTGCGTGCGCGTTCGTATCTGCGTGCGTGCGCGTTCGTATCTGCGTGCGTGCGCGTTCGTATCTGCGTGCGTGCGCGTTCGTATCTGCGTGCGTGCGCGTTCGTATCTGCGTGCGTGCGCGTTCGTATCTGCGTGCGTCCGCGTTCGTATCTGCGTGCGTGCGCGTTTGTATTTGCGAGCGTGCGCGTTTGTATCTGACTCGGCTGTGAAAAAGAGCCACTCCTACAGTCCGACGCCGTTCTTCTTCCTAGTCAGATGCTGTGAATAGAAAACAGTTTTGTTTCTCCCTTAAAAGAATGGAACCGTGGTCATAAATAGCAGTTGACTCAGTAGTATGAGGAAACCCGTATAAAAACTATCGATCCGTTATGACGATCGTTTCGTTAACGAATAATATTAGCCGCTTAAAACACAAGTTACGGCAATACATGGCTATATACCTTGTGCAGTGGGGATGTTTAACTTCAAGAGGCTCTCTATTGACCGTGTGTGCACACAACTGCATTATTTACGCGCCCGTTAGAATGTCAGCAATAGGCGCCGTATGTTGTGCTAAATGGATGCACTAATGCACAAATGTCATGATGATTAAGGGGGTTTAGCGGTATGAATATGTATACCCGGTTGGAGACGTTGCCGGCCAACGACCCATAAACGTACACGACACATCGTTATATTCACATTCACGGACAATTATGTTCTTAATTATTCATGAGCATGACCATACGTTGCGCTATATACGTTGTGTATCCATTCGCTCCCACTATATAGGGCTGGCTATACGAACCACAGTGTTAGAAAACGGTAGCAAACGTGTCTCTAGCGCGGCCGCTACTTGAACCAGACATGGCCGCTTATTTGGGTTTTTGGTTCGGTGACGTTCGATAAACGGCCCAATCTCGCCAAATTACAGTGAGTTCGATTTTAGAGTGGTCGGCAAAAGTCGTGACGTTTATGTTGCCGTCTAGTGCATTTTATATTGTATCTTGGGCTACAGCTTAGCCTCATTGCTGCAAAGGGTCGTGTCGTGTAGCCCTGTAGCGGAAAGTGGGCACTTTATAACAACCACCGGTACTTATTACCCGCAATGCTAAAGGTAAGCTGTTAGTAGAAATTTCTACCCGCATTCGCATGCTTAGTTTTATCACAACAGTCTCGAATTATAGTCAATCCGAGAATCATCGAGAATCATTGAATTAGAGAATCATCCGCAATTATTAAATCCTATAGAATCATTCAATAATCATTGAATCCGAGATGATAAATGATAACCAAAGCGCGTGAACAATGTCCTATACTACAGTCTGCTCAACGTGGACTGCCTTATTGCTAATTTTCAGTACTTACCATTGTCAGGCTAATAATAGCTATTCGCATTGCTGCTAAGCTTCCACCAGCCTAACTTCACAAGTATTTTACGATATAAATTTGTTTACTCAGCATTCTTTTCCAATATTTCTGACATTTAAAACAAGCCTAACATCACGTACCCGTATCCTTACTACAAACTTTGTTTTATACAGCGTCGATCGATTTCAGAATCAATATATATATATATTTGCATACAACCGTCGCGAAAAGATAACATAGGATCAGCAACTGTCATATAGATAGATTTTGTATAGAAATTGTGAGTTCATATTATCAATTCTGATAATATAAAAAATTCTAAATTTTATCTAGTACTGTTTTGCTCACTCATCACACTACAAAAATTTCACATTTCCACTTGTCTCTCCCGGCGTAATAAATACCGGAGGTTGTTACATAATGCCCACCGTAGCGGGAGCGAAGGACTATGCGCAGGTAGCGATAGACCATACGTCCTAATTGTCTTTTTCCCTGTCCATAATTATATGCCGCAGGTCTATTTCTGTCGTCGTTGCTACCGCTTTAATAGTGTATAAGGGACACACGCGCGCGCACACACACACACACACACACACACACACACACACACACACACACACACACACACACACACACACACACACACACACACACGCGTCCGAATTCCGTCCTTTATATCACTGCCCTTTGACTTGAGACCAGCAAATTTGCCTGGGTTTTGTCACCGACTCTGTATACCGAGTATCAAGAGCATAGGTCAAGTCGTTTACGCCACAATTCTTCTTTTCCTCAATGCCGGTTCTATACCTTAAGTTAAAGGAAGAATATTACCCCCTTCCCTTCACGCCTCGTGACCTTTTGCCCTTAATTCCAGATTTAACCGCTAATGTAGTTTTATTTCTCCTTACTAAAGAATTAAAACTCATGCTCCCGAATTTCAATACCGTACTTGTAGGCCTTGTTTTGTGCCCATATTTTTGACGGACGCACGGACCATTCTACAAGCTGCATCTGACTGTGTCAGATGAGATAAAATGTAAAAGGTTGTGCGTAATTGTCACATTCCGAAATCTAGGTAAGTCGCTGAAAAATAAATGACTATATTATCACGACGACGCTCACAATTACAATAGTAAGCGCAACTAAAGCAAAACAACGAAAAAATACTACATTCAGCTGATTAAACGTAACCGTCGCAGTCATGTCGGACATTCGTGAGTATTCTTTGAACTTTATTTCTATCGACCCCTTCCGGAGCATGAGAAATATACACATAATACATGGTTGTATAAAATCAATTAATAGAATAATATGGCAGTACATGCACATATGAAAGAGCGCAAACATTACCTTATACAAATACACGTTCAATATAACTTATAACTTGACACACACAAAGGATTATCTATTTACTAATCTTTGACATGATCCGCTGCTTTCTAAGCGTCCCCTATTCATACCCCTTAGCCGCTGAGATTATAGATCGAACTGATGATCAATGTGATCCAATACTGATGACGCAATACGCACCTGTAACGGGCGCCCAATCATCACCCGCCACGGCGTTTCTCAACTCTTAACTTAGACGCGCACTCACCTGCTCACGTACGTGCGAGGTAATATTGTGAGTTCCGGCTATCAATCGAGCTTGAAACAAATGCTGCGCTCGGGTTCGTTCGCTGACGGACTCTAATGCGAATTGACGGGAGAACGGGCTCGCGAACGTTATAGGGGCATCGCCAACAAAATGATATCGACTGCCTTTTGTTCCGTTGCCGACACCCATAGCAACTACTCTACGCGTTGCTATAATTCCCTGCCGCGCGATGCTATTTACGCAGGCTAACCTCACCAGACGGCGGCTCTCAGCGCCTGCCGAATAAATAAGAATGTTTCTAATCGATTGCGGAGCTGGCAGCGAAAACTGAATAGAACGCGACGCATCTTGATATCGCGCATGAATTTAATTGCAAAATTTTCTTTCTGATTAAACAGTATACGAGATAGCGGCCTGTGCATGCGTGCTATAAATTATCATTCTGGTCCAAACGGTCGGTGTTGGTTGATACGTGGTGTCTAACATGTAGACTTCTGACCGCAAGCAACCTATCTTTATCGGGAGAAAGTTGCCAGTAGTCGTAGTATAAGATACCACATAGACATCCAACTTACATGAAAGCGCGCAGCAACCACAGCAGAGCACACTTCGTGCACATCTAACTAGCATCAAAGTATAGACGCAGTACAGTACTCTATACTACATATACTAGACGGAGAAGAGATGATACGGTTTATCGTATCGGTGCGTAGCGCCGCTATGCTATGCATCTCCACTGCGTTCTCGTATTTTATATATTTTGCAGGAGAGTGTATGAAGTTGCGTGAAGTCTACGAGTGCCAGCGGCCATCACGTGTTCCCCAGCTCGGCCTACCCTGGAATGCGACTCAGACAAACTACAAACTTTGTTTTATACAGCGTCGATCGATTTCAGAATCAATATATATATATTTGCATACAACCGTCGCGAAAAGATAACATAGGATCAGCAACTGTCATTGATCATCTGTTGGTGACGACGTATCGACGTGTAAACAGCGCACTATCGTGTAGCTGCCTGCCCATCTGCTTCGCACCTGAGATCGCTGTCAGACCGTGCTGGGCTCGTGCAGGGGATTTCGGGGCATATATAAAAAAAACGGTCGATAAATATATATTTATGTGGACTCATGAACATGCGTATATTTACCTCCGCCAATATGGTGTGTATTCTGTTTCATAATTCGATTCAAATTTATTCGATGCGTGAATCGAATGATTCGAGCTGTACAAACATGAAATGTCATAGTTCGTATAATCAGTGCATTGGTCAATACATAAACAACACCTCTAATATAAAAATAAATATAAGCAAGAAAAACTCCATAGAACTTGCAGTAGCTTCTCCGGTATGTCGTTTAGTCTCAGTTTCATTGAATGGAGTGTGGTGAAGATGTTGACAGCCACTTCTAGATTTACATATAAATGTCATAGTGCGCGTGTATCATAACGAGAGCAGAGAGCTTCTCTCACGTATTAATGCCAGTAGAACACTATTTTTATTTATCTGCTTATATCTGCATCATGCGCTATAAAACCTGGGGTGAAAGTACAAATTGCGATGTTGTCATGTAAATCTGTATTATAGGCCACGTACAGTACGCCTGATAACGTAATACGAAACGCTATATCATTAGATGTTCATCTCTAAGGTATTATTAGCTCTTGGTGGCATTAGACT